TCAAAAACACAGGTATCGTTGAGAGACATTGGACCTAGAAGCAATCAATCAATGTAAAAGCCTTGAGATAAAACTAAACGTAGTTAAGTTGGAGTATCACATTTCATTTTGGTGCTTCATTATGGGAAGGATATAGAGGCAATCTAGATTCAATAAGATGTTATCAGAGACAAGAAATTAGCCCATATAGAGAACTTGAACAGTTGGGACATTTTCACAGGAGTTAAGTGAGTGACAGAAAAGAGGTTTTAATATCATGAAGGGTTAATAATAGATCAAAAATGTTGATTTTATTCCCCCAAAGAACTCTTGAAGGACATGGACAAGTTGGTGGAGTGGGTGGATGGACGGTAGATGAGGTTCAATACAGAGAAGTGTGAGGTGGTGCACTTTGGTAGGAAGGACATTGAAAGAATACAAAATAGCAATATAATTTTTAATGGATGTACTTGAGTATATATAGGCACAGATAGTGTTCTCAGCTTTATTAATAGCAGCAAGGAGTACAAGAACAAGGAGGTGATGTTGAATTTATATGAGACACTAGTTGGACATCAGCTGGAGTATTGTGTACAGTTATTGGGAACATATTATAGAAGGATGTGAACACATTGAAAGAGTGCAGAAACAGTTTACAAGGATGATTTCAGTGATGAAGAACTTCCGATTTAGTTGGACCGAAGGGTCTATTTCCGTGCTGTATGATTCTATGACTCTATCACTCTATAAGTTGGAATTATTCTTCTTAGAGTGAGGAAGGATAAGAGGAGATCTGATAGTGGGTTTCAAAGTCATGAACAGGCTGGATAGGGTATATAAAGAGAAATTGTTACTGCGTGTAAGACGAAGAACAAGAGGGTACAGATTTAAAGTGGTCCACAGAAGAAGCAAGGGGAAAAACATTTTCACACAGTGAGTAGCTAGTTTATGGGTAGCACTGCCTGGAAATTTGGTGGAAACACGTTCAATTGAGATATTCAAGAGGGAATTGATGATTATTTGTATAAAGATAGTGTGCACAGGTATGGGGACAAAGCAGGAGATTGACAATGGATAATGATGCTCATTTAAGAATCAGTTGAATGGCCTTTCTGCATTGTAACAATTCTGTGAATGCTGTGATTCATCTGAAAGATGGTAATTAGGACACAAGCTCACAATCATCACAAAAAAATTAAAAGATTAGAAAGAAAAGGAAACAAAAAATTTGGGGATGAAATTCAATGGTTACTGTTCTTTATCCCAGGCAAATCAATGCGACCTATGTCCATCCAGTCTAGATCAGTGTTGTCTCATGGGTTGCATGGGAATATAACCCAAGATTCCGAGTGAACCACTGGATCATTAACTCCAGCAGAGGGAGTCTTTGCCAAACTTCTGCTTCCTTGATGTGATTGGCTTCTAATCACAGAGGTGTTTCCAAAGTACTGTAAAGCAGAAAAATCACAAAAAAGTGTTGTTCATCTGGATCAACTGGATCTTCCCACTGCAGCACACCAAGAGCATCTTCAAGGATTTTTGATGCAATATTTTTGAGAGAATAGTTAGAACGTAGAATTCTCAGTCACAAATCATTATTGAAGCTGTATCAATATTGGTGTAACTTTTTAGATGTTTCATGTCTATTTCTTCTGACCTGTAAATGTTTGCATGATTGACATGAACAGAAGTTGCAGGAAAAGATCAGCAGGCCTGGTAACATCTGTGAAGAAAAAAATCAGAGTTAACATTTCAGATCTGGTGACCCTTCCTCAGAACAGACGTTGCATGCATGATTGCCAGTTGTCTGTGGCTGAGTTTAAACTGTTGATCAATAAAGAGGCCAGATCTGAAAATGTGATGCCTCTTACAGTTGATACAGTGTGGAGCTGGAGGAACACAGCAGGTCAGGCAGCATCAGAGGAGATATTATAGTCTTTTATATAGGTGTCATCGATGGTGCTATCAAGCAGCATCAATAACCTATTCAGTGACGCCCAGTTTGGGTTTAGCCAGGGCCACTTAGCTCCTGACCTCATTCAAACATGGACAAAAGAGCTGAATTCCAGAGGTGAGTTGAGAATGACAGCCCTTGACATCAAGGCTGCATACGACTGAGTGTGGCATCAAGGAGCCCTAGCAAAACTGGAATCAGTGGGTATCAGGGGGCAAACTCTCCGGTGTTTGGAGTCATACCTGACACATAGGAAGATGGTCGTGGTTGTTGGAGGTCAATCACCTCAGCTTCAGGACATCTCTGCAGGAGTTCCTCAGGGTAGTGTCCTCAGCCCAACCATCTTCAGCTGCTTCATGAATGACCTTCTCTCCATCATAAGGTCAGAAGTGGGGATGTTTGCCGATGATTGCACAATGTTCGGCACCATTTGCACCAGATACTGAAGCAGCCCATGTCCAAATGCAACAAGATGTGGGCAATATCCAGGCTGACAAATGATATTCACGCCACACAAATGCCAGGCTATGACCATTATCAATAAGAGACAATCTCAGTACCACTGCTGACATTCAATGGTGTTACCATCACTGAATGCCCCACTATCAACATCCTGGGGGTTATCACTGACCAGAAACGCAATTCGACTCACCACATTAACAGAGCGGCTACAAGAGCAGGCCAGAAGCTGGGAATACTGCGGCAAGTAACTCACCTCCTGACTCCCCAAAGCCTGCCCACCATCTACAAGGCACAAGTCCGAAGTGTGATGGAATACTCCTCACTTGCCTGGATGAGTGCTGCCCCAACAACACAAGAAGCTTGACACCATCCAGGACAAAGCAGCCGCTTGATTGGCACCACATCCACAAGCATCCACTCCCTCCACCACCGATGGTCAGGAGCAGCAGTGTGTACTATCTACAAGATGCACTGCAGAAATTCACCAAAGATCCTCAGACAGCACCTTCCAAACCCCCGATCACTTCCATCTAGAAGGACAAGGGCAGCAGACATATGGGAACACCACCACCTTCAGTTCCTCTCCAAACCACTCACCATCCTGACTTGGAAATATATTGTCCCTCCTTCACTGTTGCCGGGTCAAAATCCTGGAATTCCTTCTCTAAGGGCATTGTGGGTCAACTGACAGCAGGAGGACTGCAGCGGTTCAAGAAGGCAGCTCACCCCCACTTTCTCAAGGGCAACTAGGGATAGGCAATAAATGCTGCCCCAGCCAGTGATGCCCACATCCCACAAATGAATAGAATAAGAAATATGGCTTTTATAGTTTGTTATCAACTGAACTCACTATATGATGTTAGAATTTAATTGGGGATTATTTAAATTTGAAAGATGCTAAAAATAATTGAAGTGAGAAAAAGCAGCTTCCAATAATTGGCTTTGCAGCCAAGTACACTAAACTTATAACAGCATACTTTTGACTTCAGATCCACATAATGTGCTTGATTCTCAACCATCTTCTGAAATAGCCTATCTGTTCATGGGTAGGGGATAGGGAGGGGTAACTAAGCCTGTGCTTGCCAGTAATGTCCACATCTCATATAAGAACTGAGAACAATAGAGAACTCATCTATTTCCCAGGTTTTCCCTGGAAGGTGCATCTATTAGTGTGTGTGTTTAATGAGCGGGTGTGCAAGTGTGAATTATTTGTGACTGAATCCCAACTTTATTTCATATTTTGTCAATACTAAACTGAGTTGCATGCTTTTATGAAATACAAATTTAATTTATGATAAAGATTTTAGTATACTGTCATGAACATGTAGTTATAATATTATCAATTTTGTAAACTGTAATCTACTTTTAAAAGTGAAAATAGAGGGGCTTTTCAGAATAGTTCCCGAAAGCCATAGGATTTCTCTTGCGGATTCAATTGCATCCAAAACAGACAGGTGGGCCCACTGTGGCCAGTACAGATAATCAGGCTGCATTATCTTAAGAATCAAGCATAATGAGTCTTTTAATAATTCAAAGATTCTAGGAATGTCCATGGAGCCCTCAAAATGTATGAAGCCTCAAAAGCTTCTGTAGTATTGAACAGGATACAGAAAGAGGAACATTGTGATGAATTCCAGCATAATTGACAGCTTTGTGTAACAATAATTCTTCAAAGTTAACATTTGCAGCCATTTACTTCATGTGCTAGCTGGAAAGAACCATATCGAGAACCATCTGATCATGATGAGAACCATAAGGGACACTTTTCAACAAATGAAAGCACCTTGGGCAAAAAACAACTAAAGGTCTGTTGTACTGAACCAGGTTAACAAGAGACATTACCTGCAGCATGATTAAAAGAATCAAAGGGAGCCTTCAGTCACTGTCAAGACCTGTTCACCTTACTGAGTCCAACTATGGGTGCAACCTCCAACTATTCAACTACAGAAGCTTTTAAAGTTGCTGAATCTGAATTTTCAAATTTCAATACCTTCACCTCAGAAGGAGAATCTTCAAACAAGCCAGGCCTCCAGTGATGTTAGAGACTGATCTGATTTTAATTTTCATATATAAAACTTATATACTTAGTTTAAATCTTTGGTGTACATATTTTCACTAAATATTTTACTATTTTAACTTTAGTAACTTTCAGCAACAGGTGAGTTATAAATTAACCTTTTATCTGGTTTAAGATGTAAAAGTGTACAGCCAGATATTTCTAAATTGAAAGACTTGAAAATTAAAAGGTAACTATATACAAGCTTAGACAAACATTTAGTTCACTGACCATTTTGAAGAAATGCCTTATATATGGCCATGGCAATACCAAATAATAAAAAATTGTGATAAGGAATAATGATTTACATGTTTTTGTAGATATTTTCCAAGACCAGATCGTCCCTTCATTGTAACTAACAAAATGTCAATTTTACTGTTCCACAGGAATAATTAACTACTGGGAAATTTAAATGGATCATTCAATTTACATATTCTACCAGAAAACACAGCCTGTAACTAGTGCTAAAATCTAGTTTGAAAATGTCTTTGCAAACATTACAGTGTTAAAACTCATGAAAAATCACTTCATTGACAAATATGAACCAGATGACGATCTAAAGGTGGCTAAGAAATTTATTTCCAAAACAAAGTTTATGAGTTTTCAGCCTGTTCAGTTGGAATTGATTGCTTTAGAGAGGCTAAATTATACATTGCTAATGATGGTTAAAAAGAACACTAAGCAAGGATAAGATATTTCAGCTCAGATGGCTACAAACAGTTTAAAAATGTGCAGCAGCTGTGGGTCTACAGTGCACCCACCTAAGAGGTATTTGTAGGAAAATCATTCATGCACTTATAGAGAACAGTTTTACAATTTGCTACAAATGATGCATGACATTTTTACAGTTGCAATAAGCAGCACTTCAGGAGATGGGGAAGGGAAACTAAAGTGCAGAACATGAAGGTACAAAGTATGATTAAATAAAAAGATGCTCAGCATTGAAGTCTCAAAAATTAATATTTGCTTAATATATGAGGAACGTTTGAAGACTCTGGGTCTATACTTAATGGAGTTTAGAAGGAGGAGGGGAGATCTAATTGAAACTTACAGAATATTGAACAGCCTGGACTGAGTGGATGTTGGGAAGATGTTTCCATTGGTAGGAGAGACGAGGACCAGAGGGCGCAGACGTTGAGTAAAGGAAAGACCTTTTATGGAGATAAGGAGAAACTTCTTCAGCCAGAGAGTGATGAATCTATGGAATTCACTGCTACAGAAGACTGTGGAGGCCAGGTCATTGGGTATTATTTAAGACAGACATTGTCAAGGGGATCAAAAGTTACGCAGACAAAGCGGGAGAAAGGGGTTGAAAAACTTATCAGCCATGATTGAATGGCGGAGAAGACTTGATGGGCTGAATGGCCTAATTTCTGTTCCTCTGTCTTATGGTGCCAAAATATTTTGTATTGTTTATTGACTGAAGCAAGTACCTAAATATCTCCAAAAAAATTAACTTCTGTGAGGTCATTTAATCACAAATCATAAGAAGAATTTTGGGATGTGCAGTTAAGATTTCAAAATTTCTAAGAGTTTCTAGGGCTCTAGCATGATTGCTACTCTGAGCAAGTGCACAATGGAAAGGAAACAGAATCTGATTTGGAGTGAATTCACAAAAATACTTGCTAACCATACATATCAAAGGGATTTAAAATTGTGACGTAATTTTGGTGACTGTTAAATCAACAGAAATAAATCTTGTGGTGCACAATCAAAATCTGACTTTCTTATTTCAATTACCAAACAATTTTGTAACATTAGCAACAAGTTATTGCTAGAAAATAGGCCAAAAGTAGGTTCTTGTCCTGCACAAAGGCATGTTCTCTGTACCCGAATAGATAATGTCTAAGAACGCCTGCACTTTGAGTGACAAATTTCTTTAGAATGAAGGTGGCACCACAGCAGATGTCCAACAGAAGGAAGGAGTGTAGACCAGTTGCTGATAGTGTTGTAGATGGCCACAGGAATGCAGCCTAAGGGAGGATTGCTGGGCTGTGGTGGGAAACAGGAGATGGAACTTAATGGTCTGCCTCACAGCAGGCTGGGAACTCATAATGAGGCACGAAGGCTTAGCTTGAAGACCCCGTCACCTTCCTCACCCCTGTAATTAAATATGACCACACAGAGACCAACAGAGACTCTGAAGTGGCTAACTGGCAAGTATTCTTGCAGTCTGGTGGGGTGAGGTAGCCTCCTTCTTTGCCAGGTTCTGTCCAATGAAGGGATACGTAGCAGTAATGGAGGGACCTATGGGAACACACAGCACCAGCTGTTTGCACGGATGTCCCTCATTGACATATGTGGGGCTCTCTGACAGGCCCTAGCAATCTCACCCGTTACACGGCTCTGGATCAATCCTCATCCTTGGGCCAACAGCAGTACCACAGCGATTGCTGCTGTTGTTGGTGCTGCTGGTACTGGAGAGCTGCTAGCATCTGATTGGCAAGGAGCTCTCTGAGCTGATACAACTGCTCTGCAAGAGAAAGGTCTTTGGTAGATTGACCCTGCAGATGTTGGAAGTCCTGACAACAACCAGTAAACTGCCTGAACAGAATTTAACACTGGCAGGGTTCTCAGAAATAGTTATGGTGTGGTTGCCAAGAGCTCTCCAGCAGTGGGTAGGCCTATCACCAGAACTGTTACATTTTGCCAAGGGTATTGGCAGCCTTGGGATGTGTGGAATAGCAGTGGCTGGCAGCAAACCCTGGATCCAGCAGGCTGCATTCACAGGAGTTATACATTGCAGGGTGCAGGACTGGGTAATGCAAAGGGAGATCAGGGATCCTGAACATTGTTTTCTGGGGCTAGTGAAGTGGGGAGCAGCGGTAATCAGTCCTTTAATCTTGGATCTGCAGTTAAATAAGTCATAGTTGTTTGCTTCAGAGGATTCCTTAAATTGGGGTTTGCTGGCTGCCACAGAGCAAACCAATTGGTGGGATCATCCAGCCCAAATGAAGCCTCCTGTGTAATTAAACAGCGACTGCCTGCATTAGCCAAGGACCTCTCTTCCTTGTCCCACATTAGTTTGAGGTTATTTAGTACCTGACAAATGAGTTCTACGTTGCCCAATTTTTATGTCAGTGAATCTGAAGAAAACAGCAACAGTATGTAACACATTTATAATCACTTAGTAAAAAAAAAGTTGTGTCTATCATGAATTGATGCATTTAAAGACTAGGCACTCTTTAGGAAAGTTAAACAAAAATATAAATCACAAAAGCCTTGTGTAAGCAACTTATATGTTTGCAGCCTTAAGTCTATAACTCATGGTGTTAAAGGCAAATTCTCTGCAATACGCCCAAATTTTTCTCGTCTTCGTCGGATTTTTTTCTGCAGCTGGAGTTTGTTGGTGAAGAAGATTTCTTTCCAACCAACCTCTGAAGCCAATGCTCGCGTTTCTGGGGTTATGGTATCACAGTGTCTCAAAACAAGACGCTCCCAGAGTTCTTCAGAATTACATACCTGCAGAGACAGCAAAGCAAATTTGGCCCTCAGCTAGTTACCACTGAACAGATCTTAATTAAAACCCTACTGCAGATCTATTTTGTACTTCTGAATATTCCAGTAGAAACAAGTCATCTAAATGTGCAAAAGAAAATGCACTTCACCATTTTATTATATTATTTTATTTTGATCCCCTTCCTCCCCCTCAATCAAAATATCTCCCTCACACACAAACATTTAATAAGGGGAAGGCATTATTTTCTGCTTCACTTTCTGTAATTTTCAATTTGAAATGTCTTACCTTTGGGTAGTCTGTCTGGCATTGAACACAAGACTTATACAATTGTACTGAGGTACCCGAGAGTGGAACATGCTGTAAAGTGACAAGTTCAATTTTATTTCACATTCTGTAATTTTCAGCTTGAAAGACTCTGTAATGTACTATTATGGATTTTATGAATGCAGTATATATTTTTAAAATAACAGGTGCATAACAGCCTGGTGTGGCAACTACTTTGCTCAGGAAGGTGGTGTGCACAGCTCTGACCATCACAGAAGCCAACCTTCTGTCCATGGACTCCATTTACACGGCTCGCTGCTGCGGAAAGGCTGCCAACATCATCAAAGACCCATCGCGCCCCAGTAATGATCTCCTTAACCTCTTCCGCCAGGCAGAAGATACAGAAGAAAACTGAAGGAACTGCGGATGCTGTAAATCAGGAACAAAACCAAAGTTGCTGGAAAAGCTCAGGAGGTCTGGCAGCATCTGTGAAGGAAAAAACAGAATTAACGTTTCGGGTCCGGTGACCTTTCCTCAGAACTTGGTTTTGAGGAAGGGTCACCAGACCCGAAACGTTAAGTTGGTTTTTATCTTCACAGATGCTGCCAGACCTGCTGAGCTTTTCCAGAAGATACAGAAGCTTGAACACATGCAGCAGGTTCAAGAACAGCTTCTTCCCTGCTGTTAATAGACTGATGAATGGACCTCTCTAACTTCAAATAATGCTGACCTTGTTAATGTTGATCGTGCCCAGCGGACGTCCTGTGAGATGTAACTTGTGTGCCTTACTCTGTCCAAGTCCTTTTTACAGCCTATGATCTGTATGTCCTTGCTTACTATGATCTGCCTGTACTGCTCATAAACAATACTTTTCACTGTAGTTAGGTAATATAATAAATCAAAAAAATTATAAATACCTTACGAATATGAACCAATGTGACTTGAGAAGTTTAATTTGTCAGCTTCCTTCTGTTACAAGAAAAACATTACTTGTGACACTACAGTTTGGGTCAGATGCTGAAAAGGCTCAATGGGGAAGGCCCTTTCCAACATAGTCCAACGACGGGTTTAAGCTTATGTAAAACTCTTCCAGTAGTATGCACAAGAAAATGTTTCACATGAAATACAAATGAATATTATAAACATAACCTGTGATGGAAAGCTTAATGAGGCACCTCATGTCCAAAAAAAGGAACTGATGTGTATTGCACTTTATGTAGTGAGAAATTTGAACCATAACGTAAAGGTACATATACAAATTTTATGAATAATGTATATTTGAGGAAAAACATGGTTATGACTGTTGGTCTGATTGTCAAACATTTCATTTATTAGAAAAGACGCACTTAACCTCAATACATATTGTACCCTTTTAGTTTGCTGTTAAGAAAAGGAACAAAAGCAGTGAATTGTGTGAGGTACTTGTGCAATTTGGCCGTAATTTAGAATCTGAATAATCTTTGTTTCAACATTCTGAGATGTTACAACAGCACCCTCTAATGGTTATAACAATAATCCACATAATCTTTTCAAAATCTGAACTGCAAAGTGGATAAGGGAATATTTTTGAATGTTATTTATATGAACACGCAGAAGGCATTTGATAATGTACCTCATGAGGGACAGTTCATTCAAGTTGAAGTGCATGGAATTGTGGGCAAATTATTGACCTGCTTAGGAAATTCTCCCAGATTACCTAGCCACAGTGCAGGATAATGGACAATTACTCCAATTGACAGGATGTTTCAGTGTTATCTGATAAAAACAGAATATGAGGCCTCAAGCATTTACTATATTTGTTGGTGACTTAGATGTTGAGATAGAAAGCCACAAAACAAATTTGCTTATGATGCAAAGATTAGTTGCCTTGTAAACAGTGTAAATGGAAACATAAAGAAATATTGAGCGAATAAATGAACGTGCAAAACTTTATCAAATGGATTTCAACGTAGACAAATATGGGACCACCTGCTCTGATCTAAAAAGTACAACAGGATGTTTTCTGAATGGTAAAAATCTAGAAACAGGGGAGTTTTTTTCCCCTATTCATTCATGGGATGAGGGCATCGCTGACCAGGCAGCATTTATTGCCCATCCCTAATTAGCCAGAGGGCAGTTCAGAGTCAACCAGATTGCTGTGGGTCTGGAGTCACATGTAGGCCAGACCAGGTAAGGATGCAGTTTCCTTCCCTAAAGGACATTAGTGAACCAGATGGGGTTTTCTGACAATTGATAAATGGTTCATGGTCATCATTAGATCCTTAATTTCATGTTCTATTGAATTCAAATTCCACTATCTGCTGTAGTGGGATTTGAACCTGCGTCCCCAGAACATTGTCTGGGTCTCTGGATTAACAGTATAGTGATAATACTCTTGAGGTCATTGCCTCCCCTCCTGTTCCACGTACAGAAATTGTTAAAATGTAATGAACAGATGCAGAAAATAATCACAAAGCTAATGAAATGATAGTCTCTATATTTAGAGTACTAAGATTAGAAGAGGAAGTTACAAAGGCAGAGAAGTTACGCTTAGCTATACAAAGCCTTGGTTAAATTACTATGGGGCTCTATGCGTAGTTCTGGTCTGCACAACTTTGAGAAAGATACGTAATCCTTGGAAGGATTTGAATCACACTACGGCAGATGGTGGAATTTGAATTCAATTTAAAAAAGTCTGGAGTTAAGACTCAGAGATAGTAAGAAGAGCAGATGCTGGAGTCAGAGATAACACAGTGTGGAGCTGGAGGAACACTGCAGGCCAGGCAGCATCAGAGGAACAGGAAAGTTGATGTTTCAGGTCAGGACCCTTCTTCAGACCCTTTTTCAGTTTTGATTTTGAAGCCATTCAGTTGTACAAATCGCTACAAGTCTCAAAGAAATGAAACCAGATGGATCACCTGGCATCAACCTCGACACCAGAAAAGACAACAGTGGAAACAGCCCTGTTGACCCTGCAAAATCCTCCTCACTAACATAGGGGGCTAGTGCCAAAATTGGGAGAGCTGTCTCACAGACTAGTCAAGCAACAGCCTGACACATTCATACTCACAGACTCATACCACACAGAAAATGTCCCTGGATATGTCCTGTCTCACCGGTAGGACCGACCCAGCAGAGGTGGAGGCACAGTGGTATACAGTTGGGAGGGAGTTGCTCTGGGAGTCCTCAACATTGACTCCCGACCCCATAAAGTCTTATGGCTACAGATTAAACATGGGCAAGGAACCTGCTGATTACCACGTACTGTCCTCCCTCAGCTGATGAATCGGTACTCCTCATGTTGAGCAACATTTGGAGGAAGCACTGAGGATGGCAAGGGCACAAAATGTACTCTGGGTGGGGGATTTCAATGTCCATCACCATCAGCAGCAGTACTACTGATCGAGCTGGTTGGGTCCTAAAGGACATAGCTGCTAGACCGGGTCTGCAGCAGGTGGTGAGGGAACCAACAAGTGGGAAAAACATACTTGACCTCATTCTTACTAATCTGCCAGCTGCAGTTACATCTATCCATGACAGTATCGGTAAGAGTGACCATCGCACAGACCTTGTGGAGACGAAGTCCCACCTTCACATTGAGAACAACCTCCATCGTGTTGTGTGGCACTATCACGTGATAAATGGGAGACTTCACACAGATCTAGCACCTCAAGACTGGGCATCCATGAGGCGCTGTGGGCCATCAACAACAGCAGAATTGTACTCCAGCACAATCTATAACCTCATAGCCCGGCATATCCCCCACTCAACCATTACCATCAAGCCAGGGGATCAACCCTGGTTCAATGGACAGTGCAGGAGGGCATGCCAGGAGCAGCACCAGGCATACCTGAAAATGAGGTGTCAACCTGGTGAAGCCATCAAACAGGACTACTGCATGCCAAACAGTAAAAGCAGCAAGTGATAGAAAAAGCTAAGTAATCAGATTGAAGCTCTGCAGTCCTGCCACATCCAGTCGTGAATGGTGGTGGACGATTAAACAACTCACTGGAGGAGGAGGCTCCACAAATATCCCCATCCTCAATGTTGGAAGGGCCCAGCACATCAGTGCAAAAGCTAAGGCTGAAGCTTTCACAGCAATCCTCAGCCAGAAGTGCCGAGTGGATAATCCATCTCGGCCTCCTCCAGTGGTCCCCAGCGTCACAGTTACCAGTCTTCAGCCAATTCGATTCACTCCACCTGGTGTTAACAAACAGTTGGAGACACTGGATACTGCAAAGGCTACCGGCCCTGACAACATTCCGGCAATAGTACTGAAGACTTGTGCTCCAGACCTTGCCGCTTCCCTAGGCAAGCTGTTCCAGTCCAGTTACAACACTGGCATCTACCTGGCAATGTGGAAGGTTCCGCAAGTGTGTCCTGTACACAAAAAGCAATACAAATCCAACCTGGCTAATTACCGCTCCATCAGTCTGCTCTCAATTATCAGTAAAGTGATAGAAATTGTCAGTAACAGTGCTGTCAAGCACCACCTGCTCAGTGACGCCCAGTTTGGGTTCCGCCAGGGCCACTCAGCTCCTGACCTCATTACAGCCTTGGTTCAAACATGGACAAAAGAGCTGAATTCCAGAGGTGAGGTGAGAGTGACAGCCCTAGACATCAAGGCTGCATTCAACCAAGTGTAGCATCAAGGTGCCCTAGCAAACAGGAATCAATGAGCATTGGGGGAAAACTCTCTGATGGTTGGAGTCATACCTGGCACACAGGGTGATAGTTATGGTTGTAGGAGGTCAAGTATCTCAGCTCCAGGACATCTTTGCAGGAGTTCCTCAGGGTAGTGTCCTCAGCCCAACCATCTTCAGCTGCTTCATCAATGGCCTTCCCTCCATCATCAGGTCAGAAGTGGGGATGTTCGCCGATGATTGCACAATGTTCAGCATCATTCACGGCTCCTCAGATACTGAAGCAGTCCATGTCCAAATGCAACAAGATTTAGACAACATCCAGGCTTGGGCTGACAAGTGGCAAGTGACATTCGCACCACACAAATGCCAGGCTATGACCATCATCAATAAGAGACAATCTAACCACCACCCCTTGGCATTCAATGGTGTTACCATCACTGAATCCCCCACTATCAACATCCTGAAGGT